TTCCCTACATATAAAAAAAAGATTGATCTGATATGCACATTAATCAGGCCTTCAAACTTTCTTTGGGGAAATTTTTGCGATCTGCATTTTTGCTTTCCTTTCTTTCTGTTACATAAAATTACATTATTTCTGTCATGACAACTCTCTGAGAGTTTAGCATTGCAATATATACATGGCAATGTTAATGTGTTTGGTCTTGCAAGTAGCAAGTACCGAGATTTGCTACTGCCAATACATCCACAGACATGCTGCTGTGAGCATGTAGGAAATACTGCTGCAGCACATATAACATATATGAAATAACCCCCATATCTATCTAACATACATGAAATTACCCTGTAGAAGATCTATACAGGTGGAGCTGGGGAAGGTGGAGGGTTTCTGAAGTGTACTGCAACTGCTACAGCAAGCACTAGCCAAGTATTTGAATGTTGAGCAGCAGGTTAATTGGCTGCTGATGTGAAAAGAATCCAACCAGCTGCGCCATGTGAATAATGATGTGATTATATCAGATTGAGTTAGAGCCTATCAGCCTGCGCTATCTAGAGTTTCATGACAGAACTTTGTATATATTTTTTATTATGTGTTGATCTGGTAGATTTGTTGATTTAGAATTGTTATTGTTTGGTTTTGCATTTTATTTTTTGTCTTTTTGCAATGGTATATTACATATGTTGTGCTATTCTGTGTTGTTTTATATTTTTTGTTTTGTTTGATTTTTCATACTGTATATCACTTACCATTGTTTCATCATCAAATGCCCTTTTACGTTGCTGATTGTAGCACCTCCTTCACTATCCCTTATGCCCACACTACTTTAAATTGTTAGAGTGCACATTGGCATGTGTTCATTAGCCGGTAACATGCTCAGAGCTAACTGTGATGTAATTAGACTATTTGAGGGTTGCAGCTCATCACAAAGCACGACTGTCCTTACTCTATTATAAGGTCACATACTGAAGTCATCTGCACTCTAATGGAAATACCAGCGTGTCAGTATGACCTGTCTGCTGTTTTTTATGACACACAGTGTGTCGTCACCCAGATTTATCTCTGCTGTTATGGACGATTCATCTTGAGACTTGATTTGACTCAAGCGTTCTTGTCTGGAAAACATGTTAGATGGTGCAACAGAGTAACCGTGAGAACCTGGAACAGGCCTTTGAGATTGCGGAGTCGTTAGGGGTAACACGACTTCTAGATGCTGAAGGTAACATTGGTGTCTTATCGGTCCTTAATTTTCATCCATTCTACATACAGGAATTATTATGTGCTAAACTCTATTTGTCTTAGATCATCATTCTAATTTTTTTTATCCTCTATCTACATTAGATGTTGATGTGTCGTCACCAGACGAGAAATCTGTTATCACGTATGTCTGCTCCATCTACGATGCTTTCCCCAAGATCCCAGAGGGTGGAGAAGGCATTGCAGCTAATGTATGTTCACTTCACAATGCACTCACTCTCTTCAAGCCGTACCTTCTTTCTCTAGTGTACTTAATGTAATTTGTCTTTCATTTTTTTCCTCCTTTTCTCTCATGTTCTTTCTGTTGTTCAGGAGGTTGACCAGCGATGGACAGAGTACCAATCTGGCTTCTCTTCTCTGCTGCAGTGGACCAGACAACATACAGCCCTCATGACCAACAGGAGCTTCCCCCACAATCCTGTGAATCTCAAGGTACGAAATGTGAGGGAAGGAGAACCTGAGAGAAGAGGGTTGGATTTCATGAAGAATGGATGGGTTTCAGTTTGGGTCGGCAAGAAATTAATACTTTTACTTGGCAAGGAAACATGAATCAGATCAAAGATGCCATTTATAATGTAACAAAAGATTTCTATTTCAAGTAAATGCTGTTCTTTCTATTCATCAAAGAATTCTGAAAATACTGTATATGTAGCATGATTTCTGCAAAAATATTAAATACAAATTTTTCAAAATTGTCAATAATATTAAGTGTAAATGTTTTCAACAAATTTCAAACAAGAAATGTTTCTTAAGCGCTAGATCAGCATATTATAATTATTTCTGAAGGATCATGTCACTCTAAAGACTGGAGTAATGACTGCTGACATTTATTTATTTAGTTATTTATTGCTGCACATTCTAGGATTGCTTTCTCTATGAAGGATACATACTGCCTTAGAATTTGGCTAAAAAGAGGTGTCTTACAAGGCAGCATATGTGACTGGAACAAACCTGTGATGCTTTAAATTGCTAATCACCATTTGATGTGACCTTACTTGGCTGTTTACCAAAAGTCTTGTCTTCCCTAGGCACTTTACAATGAATATGTCCACTTCAAAGAAACAGAGGTTCCTGCAAAGGAGAGAGAGAAGAGCTACATTGAGCACCTTTACAAGCTTCTGGAGGTGAGAGACGGTTACGAAGATAAAAGAGAAAGAATGACAGAGAGAGATTGAGGCTGACCTTGATTCTGCAGCTAAATGCAGGCGACACTGTTCACAAGAGGCACAGTGGAGCTGCACATTAACAGATTCAGGCTAATGTAGAGCGCACCGCTGCCATGTGGGAGAGGTGGAAGACTGACAGTATAAAGGGAACCTCACATGCACAAACTCAAAAAGCTTCTTTTCATGTTAAAATGATTGATGTTTGTGGATGTTGTTTAGGCGTGGATAGAGTTCGGGCGCATTAAGCTGCCTCAAGGGCTACACCCTAATGATCTGGAGGAGGAATGGGGAAAACTGATCCTGGAGATGTTGGAGAGAGAGAAAGCACTGAGGCCTGCTGTGGAGAGGTTAGTGAGTTCACGTCTAGAAGAGATTACTGCATTTCGAATTGTAGCTGTTCGAAAGCATTTTTTGATGATGTATCATTTGTATGTAACTTTGTCCTTAGGTTGGAGTTACTCCTACAGAAGGCCAATAAGATCCAGAACATGGCTCTAGATTGTGAGGAGAAACTCACGTTGGCGAAGAACACTTTGCAGGCTGTAAGTACAGTAGTATCTCTCTCTGTGGGAATTGTCTTATAAGCTCTGTTCCAAAACCTAGTGAGTTGCCTTGCTGTCTTTTGTCTACATAGGAATTACATAGGCAATTTTAATAACTTTGGAAACTCGAACAGAGTTCGATGTTAACTGCTAAGCTAGATAGCACACTAATATTGGGTAGAATAATTCGTTTTTAATTAGATTTAAATATTTTTATTTTTAAATTTCAGTATTGAATAAAATAGAAATAGATTAATATTACCATGAAGGATACAGGCAGTGCTGCCTTAGAATAATCCCCAAAGAAGGTATGTTATAAGAAAAACCATGACATGTCAGAAACACACCACATGCCTTAAAATACAGTCTCAGTAAGCAGCTCACTTGGATTTGGAACATATATTGACAGGTCCTCTTAGTTTGTTGCTTGGAAATTTATCATTCAGAAATGTTCTGTGCTTCATTGTCTTCTGTCTTTCTTAAGGACTTGTCTCAGCTAGAGAGTGGGCAGCCGGTGCGGTGTGAGAATGAATTGGGGATGTATCTGCAGGACTGTGAGGCTTTAGTCAGACAGCTTCACCTTGACCTGCAGGTCCTCAGAGATGAGAAGTACTACCAATTGGAGCAGCTGGCTTTCAGGTAAGAGGGAGAAAAAGGAAAAAAGAAAAATGTGTGTGAAAAGCAGTCCACAGAGTGGAATTATAGGCAAGAATGGCTTATGATTTCATTCTTGTTGACAGTTACTTAAAATTAATTTGAGAGGTTTCTGATTTGGTGCTTATGTAATATTTCTAATTATTATGTTGAAAACAGTTATGCTGCCTGATATTTTTTGTGGAAACCGCAATATATTTTTTTCAGGATTTATGTTTTCATTTATGATCCTGAGGTCATTTCTCTTTTGTAGGGTGTCATGTCTGCAGGAGGAGCTGGTCTCTTTGCGCCTGCAGTGTGCCAGTGTGTACAGGAAGGGTCATTTCTCCACAGGGGGTCTGCTGGGAGAGCACGTGGGTCAGAGGGGTTCTTCAGGCGGTCTGGCTACACTGGGAGCACAGACGCTTCTGGGAGCAGTGGGAGCTGCGGCATCCCTGCTCAGACGGCCGATGTCTCGTGCGGACCTGTTAGCCATGTCTTCCTCTGAGGATGAAGGCAGTCTGCGCTTCATCTACGAGCTGCTGGGGTGGGTGGAAGAGACGCAGGACTTGCTGGAGCGAGCTGAATGGGGTTCTGATCTGCCCTCTGTAGAACAGCACCTGCAAGACCACCACATCATTCACACGGCAGTGGAAGATCTTCTGAATAGCCTCAAAGAGGCTCGAAACTATGAGGTACATGAACTATGAGGTCTTGGTATCAAAGGACCCTGTCACAAAAATTCAGATGAAGTCTCAGCTTCAGGTAGCATGTACCATTCTGTTCATTAAGTGTCATGTGCAGATTCCACACAAAACTGGAATGCGCTTGAGAAAATGGCAAGCTTCAATCATATTTTCTGACTGCACTGCAACAATATTTGTGATTGTGTGTGACACTGAAAAATATTAGGTGCACCGGTGCAAGTGACCTGATTGAAGCTCATGAATGGTTGTAAACGGAGTCCAAAATTGCCCAAGTGCCAAATGCAAGTAAAAATAGTAAATTTTTGACTGTGCTTGTAAAAAATTGCCAGCATAGAGCCCTATATGATATGTAAAAACAAAAGAGTTGGTCACTTTTCAGTCCGTTAGACGGTCTCTTCAAATTTAAGTGGGTGGTTCTAGGCCATGATAGCTTTTGGATTTTGTGTGAAGCAGTCCATGGAGATGCATTGTTTCATTTTAAAACTTGCTGTGTCTACATCCAAACTGGCAATTCTGAACTGGTGTAAATAGTTTGCAAGAGCTAATGTAATAAACACTGCACAGTTTTTCATAAGCAGTAATTTATTTCCTCGTGTTCTGTCTCCCCCAGTCAAGGGTCTCACCTAATTTAAGTAGCAGTTACTCTGAGACTCTATCCAAGCTGGAGAACCAGTATTGCAAGCTGCTGGTAAGTTTTTCTGCTTTAGCATTATGATAAGCAGGCATATGTGAGTGTATTTGAGTTCATTATACACTGTATTATGGTTATTACTGTTCTCTAATCTCATCAGGGTGTGACAGAGTGTGTCCTTACAAAAGCAGAATACTGAATGCTTGAGTGTGACATGCATAAGACTGCTGTAAAGCACCTGCTCTTGACAATATATCCACACCCATACACGTCTCCTTAATTTAACCAAATCAATTCTTCAGGAAAACATACAGTTGTTCAAAAGATCTGTGAGGCCAATTCGCCAAGGGTCCTTGCTTACCACGGGAAAAGCATCAGACTGAGCAGTTGTCCGCATGATATGGCCAATGTTATGAATGTTGTTTTGTGTTGTCGCAGGAACATTCGTCATGGCGACTGCGTTGCCTAGAGAGCCTTCGAGCTTTTGTGTCCCGCTGCACTGAGGAGCTGATCTGGCTCAATGAGAGGGAGGAGGAGGAGCTGGCCTTCGACTGGAGCGACAGCAACACCAACATGGCTGCCAAAAGAGAGCAGTATTCTGTAAGACTAAATCTATAGGAAGATGCAGTAGTCATCATACTACCTCTGGCCACTATTTGTTCCCTTACTGATTTAGTTTTTTACCTTTTCATATATCTTTTCTATAGACATTTCTATTATAATATTTTTGTCTGTAAGTAGATTAAAATAATTAATAATTTTCCCTCAAAAGTATGCTTATGATTCATGATTCTTTGAGGTTGAGATGAAACAGAAGTAGAGACAGAAATGTTCTTCCGCGTTATGACATACAAACAAGTGTAACGGATTATCAAAAAAAAGAAAAAATGTAGAGCAGATACTTGGTTCTATGCATTGGTTGTTCATTGGATTTTGGAATGGACTGGATGAATCTTTCACAATAGGATCAATAAAATGCATTTACAAATTAGATTAGGTGATTTTTCCTTTCATGCTTACTTTAATGTAGTTGCAGTTGTTCATTCCATTGTTTTGGATTTGAGCAATATCTCAAATTCTCCTTACTCTCGTAGGACATGAGGTCAGAGCTGGAGGAAAAACAGGAAGTGATGCACTCTCTCCAGGAGACAGTTGACCACCTGTGTCAGGAGAACCACCCAGCCAAACAAACAGTGGAGGTGAGCTGTTGACCAGTATGAACAATCTTCACTCACTGACCTCAGTAAAAATAGTTTGATATCAGATTTGGAACTCCGTCGTGACCTGTTGACCCCTCTGATCACAGGCCTACAGTGCTGCCCTACAGACGCAGTGGCAGTGGATCAAAGAGCTCTGCATATGTGTGGAGCAGCATCTCAAGGACAACACTGCCTACTTCCAGGTGCTGAGTCAAGCTTTTCAATAGAATAGCATTCAAAATTACATTTTTAACTTGGGGTTTTAATGACATGTTTTTGCTTTATAGTTTATGAGTGATGCACGGGACTGTGAAAACTATCTACGGCAGTTACAAGACACCATTAAGAGACAGTATACCTGTGATAAAAACAGCAGACTAGGCAGATTGGAAGACCTGCTGCAGGACTCCATGGTGGGTCTTCCCTCTTACTTAACTTAGATTTAAACATATTTTACATATTTTATTTTTATGTATTGAATAAATATGCTATGACCATAGGAGATTTTACACTTTACGCCTGTTTCACACATACTCCATCTGTAGTGCGTATGCACTTTTTTAACGTTTTTTTTACGGATTAATGGATTAGAGCGTTCACACTGCACGTGGGTGCGTTCCAGGAGCGGCGCGTCTGCAGCAGTGCAGCGATCGTTTACGCACAGAGCCTATTTTTGCTGTGCTGCATGCGCTGAATTAAAGTGACAGCGCATTGTTCGCGGTAAAAATGAACATGGTTTGACACAGAAATTTAGTAATTTCACAATAAATTGATATAATTAAAGTCTACTGTGTTTCACAGTAAACGTGGCATTTTGGCTAGATTTAAAACAAGGAAAAGTGCACTTTTAGGTAAACAAGGCAACATAATAGATGCACTTGTGGTGGTAAACAACAAAGTTCTTTAAGACCCGCGGGATTGCTTGTAATAAAGATTTAAATGCAAAAGAAAAGGCACGAGAGTCGACTGTTTCTGTCAGTGGTGAGTTTTAATTTAAAATGTTTGTGATAGCCTACTTTTAACGTAAGAAAAGTAGGCTATATGCTATGTTTAAATGTGTTGCCACTTGCTTGAGCAACTTAATATACAAACCTAGAAGTCAAATGCATGAATAATATGTTGTTTATATTTATTGAGTTTAAACGAATGTCTATGAAAAAGAGGGTCACAATGCTGAAAAAGCTTTTTCAGTAACAAGGTTTGGATTTGAAATCAAAATAATGAATAAATGTTGTGTTTGTGCCTAAACAGCCGTGGATGTAACAGCGTTGTGCAAACGCGTCATGTATAAAAGCAAAACGAGTCCGTGCTGCTTCTGCACTGCATACGTAACGCACACGGACGGCATACACACTGCAGACGGAGGATGTGTGAAACAGGCTTTATACTCAGTTGAAGAATGTGAATATTTGAGCACAATGAGTGCACATGAGGTGGTGAGAGTCCTCACATGTGACAGATGGCACTATGAGAGAGGAATTGCACAAGAGCTGGCAGAGCGATGGGCATATCCTCTTTGGCCATATGGAAGAGAGACCCAGTCTGGAGAGTTCAATAAGGACGTGAATGCATTAAAAATTAGATAGAAGCTGGGATGGATTATCGTCTTAATTTTATTTTTTATTTTTTAATTTTTTATGTAAATTATTGAGTAAAAATAACCCTGGCCATTAGGAGGTTCCTAGTGATCCACCAACACTGACTATTATTCACACAGCTGCATTATAAATTTAAAAATAAATGTACTGTACTTAATACTATTATTACTACTACTTCCAGTTTAAATGCCTGTTTTTACAACACCTTTTTTATTTAAAAAAAAATAGCTGTTGATAGATTGATTGATTGATTTTTTTTTCTTTAAAAACAAAACGTGACATTAAGAAAATGTTCTAGAATTGTTGCATTAGCTCACAATTAACTACACTTAAACAAGCATCATCAAAAGCCATTTATTTGAGTTTGTGTTTATAATTAGACATAAGTTTATTTAATTAAAATATTTATGTTAGACATAAACCATTTGTTCTAGCTCTCACTGGGGATGATTTCATTTAAGAATTTGATAGAAAGAAAAAAAACAGCACAGTTGATTTGATAAGTAACAATTGATATCCCGCAAATAAGGTTTTGACATGTTTGCCATAATTTCACCCTCGTTGTTGCTCTGAAAGTCCTCTGTGGTTTTGATGAACTCCAACCCCATGCTGATATGCAGTGAAATTTATCATCACTTAATTTTTTGCAGCGAACGTAATGCTATTAGCTCTTCCTGTCGGCCTCTGCTTCCCAAAGTCAGAACTAATGAAACCCTCATGAGCTTTTCATGGAAGTGTCAAACCACATACTCATTCATTTTAGTAAAATGAAAGCTAAGAAAATAATAACCCAGGGAAGAATATCAATGATGGTCTTTCATTTCCTTAAAGCCATTTCGAAAGTCTCTAATCTATTTTAATGAGAGAAAATGAATATTTATTATCATGAAAGCACATATACATTCAGTTCATTTGACACGCAGCATGGAAAAACAAATGATGGAAGAAATTCCAATTATGGGGACCTTGCAGAGGCTGAATTAAAAAAATTATTTGAAATATTCAATCTAATGAGTTTAAATATTTATTGAATTAAGTTTATTGAACAATATTTGTTCAGACACTTTTGGTCACAGAATAAATTAATTATAGCCACTAACATCAAATTACTCTGTACTTTTTATTATTGTTAACTGCTTGATTGACTTGCTTATATGTTTTATTTTTCAGGAGGAGAAAGAACAATTGATTGAATACCGCAGCACAGTGGCCAGCCTTGTAGGCCGAGCCAAGTCTGTAGTCCAGCTCCGTCCACGCAGTGCAGATAGTAACCTGGGCACCAACACGCCCATTCGTGCCATCTGTGACTACCGACAAATAGAGGTATACCATGCTCCAGATATCTCACCATCACAACCTATTTGCTTTGCTTTACCTTTCCACATCTCAACCCTGCATTGCTCTTTATGCTCTTAAGAACTGAGCTAAGATCACATTTGGAAAATTAACGTGATCCTAATTCAGTTTTTCTGAGTTTTACTTTTGTAGCCCACTCCTCTACCCCACCTGAAAAAAAAAAGTATTTAAGGTTTCATCATCTGCTCCACTAAGGGCACTAGCCAGAGACCATCTACACGTACTTGGTTATAGACCGCCCTGGAGCTCTGAAGGCCTTTTGTAGCCCCCTCCTCTACCCCACCTGAAAAAAAAAAGTATTTAAGGTTTCATCATCTGCTCCACTAAGGGCACTAGCCAGAGACCATCTACACGTACTTGGTTATAGACCGCCCTGGAGCTCTGAAGGCAAGTATAAGGGGTAAAGGTGCCATTGACCAAAACATATCCAAAAGATCTGTCCTATGTTTGCCCATTTAGCTGTTAGCAAATAATTCTGGGAAAGTGGAGGTGTGACACATTATGAGTGATGAACAGACCTGCTATAGCATATCTAATCTACCAATTTAAATATATGGTGCTTAGGGATGTAACGATTTTAGTGATTATGCAAACAAAAAGTCATTTTATTTGTTGTTTGTTGGTTTTTAAATATAAAACTTGGTGAAGTGATTTATGTGTGGGTACTTTTTGAAAATCTCCAGCAAATGTTAACAATACCGTGATAATGCTGATAACCGTGATAATTTTGGTCACTATAATCATGATAAGAAATTTTCATACCGCTACATCCCTAATGGTGCTCTTCATTCACACATCACATACTCTATTTAAATTATGAAATGAGATACTGTCATTTATTGAATATTCATTTGTATGCAGAATACTCGCAAACACTCTCCCAGCTATGGCCCTGTTTCTTTTCCTGATCATATTATCTCGGTCAGGCGAGAACTGCTAAATGCCCAAAAGTGATCTCTTTCTCCCTCCCTATCCCTGTCCCACCCCCCTTTTCTCTGCCCTCCCCCAATTTTCCTCCTTTTCCTTTTCCATCCATTTAACCCCGTCTTTCTCTCTCTGTTCCCCTCCGTCTCCCTTGCTCTTTATGTGTGTCTGCGGGGCTGGGCAAGGCCAACTCTCAGGTACTATTGCCAACCGTTCTCCTCCTCTGACCTTTGCTTTCTGGCCTGGCCCTGCACACAAGGGACCCCTGCTTTACCTCAGGCGTCCTGTACATTGTTACTGTGAAATAGCGCATATATATTAAGAATGAGGTGTTTTTCTCCCAGCCCAATAGATCATCTATTTTCCATGGTGGGAGCATGTTGCATGTTGACTTGCTATGTCATTTTAATTATATTGTATTTATCAGTCACAAGGAGGTGGTAATCCTCTGTTAGTTATAATTTCCTACCAATATGCAACATATTGTGAATCATAATGTTCTCTGTGTGCAAGGGATATGGCGAGAGTTGAGGTGGGACACTAGAAAGTGCTCTCAAATTTTTTATTTGCTTGCTTTTCATTTTATGTTGCCCTGAGGGTTATTGAAGCCTTTAGCTTTCATGTTAGCCTGGGCAAAGCTAGGCTGAAAAGGCAACTGCAATTTGACATTAAATTGAACAAGATGAGTGCTTTGGAATTTCATTATATTTGATTTTTAATATGCTTAAATCACTTGCTTTTCATTTTATGTTGCCTTGAGGGTTATTGATGGCCTTTAGCTTTCATGTTAGCCTGGGCAAAATTAGGCTGAAAAAGCAACTGACATTAAAATGAAAAAGATGAGTGCTTTTGAATTTTTTTTGCCAGGTCAGTTGTAAAGATATGTTAGTGCAGTAAGGCATTATTCCACAAAATACATATTTCACGTAATTCAATTCATATGAAGGCCATTAGCATTAACATTTTATTCCTCATCCTTTAGTTAATATTTTGAATCCCTTTACTTTTTAATCAACTTTGACCATCAATTCTGCTTTTTTTGCTCAATTTTTCAAATCCTCTCTCCCTTACTCATTATGTTTTTTCCGTCCCTTTTTCTGTCCCTTTCTTTTCTGTTTCTGTCTCCATCTTTCTCTCTTTCTCAGATCACGATCAGCAAAGGGGAGGAGTGTGTATTGGAGGATAACTCTCAGAGGACTAAGTGGAAGGTCATCAGTCCCACAGGAAATGAGGCCATGGTGCCATCTGTGTGTTTCACCATTCCTCCCCCTAATCAGGAAGCCATCGACACTGCCATCAGGTACAGCACACAGATCCTTACAGGTTCCTTATAAACACGGATCTCTATTAGGATCTCACACACATTCAGGAATATGTCTTCTGTAATGTGGCATATTTTTGAGTGAAACAATGTATGGCATAGAAATAACACGCTGTGCATAGGTTTATGCAATGGAAATGAATTACACACACACAAAAAAATGTTTCGCTTTTGGCCCAGTAAGTAGCCACCTAGAAGTACTATTAAACTAAACTTAACTTAAAATTGTTTTCATTCATTTAAATAAAGCTGAAATAAAATATAAATATCAGATGAAAAAATTCAAAATTAAAAAAATGTTGAAATAAAATAAGTGTAAGTACAGTACAGTACAAAAATTACTAAAACTATAACTCAACTAAAAATAAAGCTAAATAGAAATATTAAAAAAATGACAAAAGCATATAAAATGACTAAAACTTATAAAATAAAAACTGAAAATATAAAAATGAAAGCTAATTCAAAATATGAATAAATACAACAATAGTATGTCAATAATATTAAAATAACACTGGGGCAAACACCACTCAAGTTGTCTTGGGCAAAATTTATTTATTAGTTTATTTATTTTTTAAGAATGATGAATTGTGCACTATAACACCAACACCAATTATTAGGAAAGATATATATATAATTATTAAGATAATTCATATATTTTGCATTGTATTTGTATTATGTTGTATTGTCTTTTTTGTTTCATAACTATGTAAACTATGTAAGATTTTATTTTCTCTTTGTGTAGAATGGAGCAGATGTACCAGAACGTCATGTCTCTATGGCACCAGCTGCATGTCAACATGAAGAGCGTGGTCTCCTGGCACTACCTGCAGAAAGACATACTAAATATTTCCTCCTGGAGTCTGGACACAGTTAGTACCACAAAGTTCCACCAATTTCCCATATACTCTCTTATTGGGACTCTTTCAGAGGTTTGTCATAATCATTTGTCTGTCTCTCTAGATGCGCTTGCAGGCTCCAGCAGAGAGGCAGCAGGCTTTAGACAACCTTGACGCCCACTTGTCCGACTTCCTTACGGACAGTCGCGAGAGTTCCCTTTTCACGCCAGCTGAACGCTGTGAGCTAGAGCGAGAAGCTGAGAACTGCCGGGAACATTGCCAAGCACTGCAGGTCTCTTTGGAGACAGGTAAGATGTTACAGTGTTCATGAGTGTATTGATTACTTGCTATGAAATAGGGGTGCTCCGATCAGGATTTTTGAGGCCGATCACCGATCACAGAAAGCAGTATCTGCCGATACCGATCACCGATACCAATCTTTTTAAAGCCGCCTTTTTATCATTTATAACTATTTATAGTGATATTCCAATCAGGATTTTTAGACATTTATTCAGGGCCTGAATTTCATTTTTGAAAATGGGGGGAATTCCCCTCTAGGTGTCTCTTGTGAGAGGACCATTGACAGAAATAGTCAGCTCTACTGCCTTTCCTTTTGCATTGAAATCTTTATTACAAGCAATCCTGCGGTTAATAAAGAACTTTCCTACCTTTTCCTACCTCCACAAGTGCCATCTATTATTGCCTTGTTGATCTAAAAGTGCTCTTTTCCTTTAAACCTAGCCAAAAAGCCATATGTGTTGATTGTGAAACACAGTAGACTTTAATCCAAGTCACGCTGTTTGTGAAATTACGTCTCACACAAGGTTTTCAAATTACTTTTTAAGTTATTTAATGAAGAAATATGAAGGTGAGTACCTCGCCTTCAGCATTATAATTATTGTACCCGCGCTGGACAGAGACTGAGACGGTGCAGCTACATGTCGTGCCAAACCTCTCACGGCAGCATCATCAGCTTGAGATCAGTTTTTTGAGATCGGCCTTTTTAGAGACCCATCCCAACGTGATTATCGGCCGATAGTGATTGGTAGCCGATCAATCAGAGCACCCCTACTATGAAACCATATTACATGGTGCTAAAAATTATTCTTTTTTTTTTTTCAGTGGAGAAGGATGAGTTGGCCTCTCGTGCTTACCTCTCAGAGCTGCAGAGCATCAAGTCGCATCTGGAGGATGCAGAGAGCAGACTGATGCGTGGCATACAGACTCCACACCCCAGCACAATATCAGGAGACAATACAGTTCACATAGCAGAGCAAGAGGTGAGGAGTGATCAGCACAACTATGCACTCTACTGGTCAATCACCTCAATAACTGAATTAGTTCAAATCTGCAGTTTTTAGCTGACATACATAAACTAGTCCATATAGTATCTGCATTTATGGAGAGTACTGTAAATTCTGCAAAAAATGCTTTTAAATACAGAACACTGCATTATGTGTTACTTACAGTGATTAAATAGTTTATAGTTATAGTTTACAAGTTTTGAAGTATTATTCATAGACTACTGTTTTTAATTAGCTTTTATTTTGTGTTTTCAATTTTAATTTTAATGTTAGTTTGAGTAGTTTTGTTACGTGCTTTTTCATTTTTATTCGTTTTTGTTTATTATTTCTGTATAGATTTCAAGTAATTTTCATACTTAAATTTATTTGAGTTAGTTGCCAAGGTAACATTGCTAATTTGCGTTTAAGTTTTTCATCTAATATTTTATTTTATATCAGCTTTATTTCAGTTACCGAAAATTATGTTAAAGTTTAAGTTTTAGTTAACAATAACAACAGTGACTTCATTTAATTACTTTACAGTCACCGTTCTCTTTCAGTTATTGAAATATGTTGCACTGATATAAATTTATTGTATACGTATTTATATTATATATATATATATCATGGCTAATAAGCGGTTTATGAATGTGCCTCTTATTGCAAGTTGAGTCGCCAATATTTTTGTCACTTTTGCCAGAAGAGAAAGACTGTAGTTTAAATGCGCATAATTGTTTTCATTTCATATCAGTTCATTTGGTCAACTTTTAGGAATACACTACTCTGTAGATTACCTCAGATTTAACAGTCATGGACTAAAAGCTGCAAATGTCATTTAAATTTCATGGAGTCTTAAAAAAAAGAAATGTAATCTGAAGAATCCTTTAATGGTTTTACAGAAACTGCAGCAGGATCTGAAAGGACTTCAGTCAGATTTGGGTGAGGTGTCTCGTCGCTGCGTGAGCTTCTTTGAGGAGAAGCCTTCCTCTTCTAGTGTGCCTGTCCTACGCTCTGAGCTCAACCTGGCCATAGAGCACATAGAGAAACTCAACTCCCTGTCCTCTGTTTATCTGCAAAAGTTAGTACACAAAGTCATTTTGGTTCATGTATTCATGTACTCTTAATTAGTCATCAAGCCTTGTTTAGCCTTAGGGACAACCATAATTTGAGTGTCTGTTTCTCTGCATCTGCCAGATTGAAGACGGTTGATGTGTTGATGAGAAGCCTGCAGGCTGCAGAAAGTCAGGTGAGAAAGTATGAGAGTCGACTGAGTGAAGAGGATATTGTGCCCGCTGATACTGCTGCAATCCAGGCCTTGGGAGAGCAGTTAAAGGTGAGACACGCAGACACTTCACACATTCATTGCTAGTAGTTGACTTAATATCTCAACCATATCAACTAATCGCCAAAGTAATATTTGTTCATTTGATATTATCCTCATAAGACAATATTTGTTTTATTCAAAAAAAATTTTTTAGGGAAGGATTTTGCTACCTCAAAAGAAATAGATGCATGACGCAGACTTTTTGTTAAAATGCTTTCCCACTATCTTCGACATTCACTAAAATTGCATTTCGCCCCCTAGTGGCAGTTGCACGGAACTTTCAGATTGGTTGTGCAAAAGCAATTACCTTCTGCTTATTCACCATGCTATGAATATATATCCATACAAACAAACAATACAAACATTAAACAACCTCCCATTTTACAGAAATTGTGTTTAAAGAATAACATAGTGTTTAAAGATTACTGAAAAAAATATTGGTAATTCTAACTTCACACTCATAGTTTTAATTGGAATATACATCACATCTGGTTGGTGGGTGAAGTTCAGTTTCAGTGTACCCGAAGTTCAAATCAGATCCGAAAATTCTGCAGATGTGTATGATCGGAACTCCAGATAGCTCTGGAAATTAGTAACTTCTGATCTGTTGTTTGTTAGAGACAGTGGAAAGGCAAATTTACTGTTGACTTTTTGGTTGCATTTCACACTCTGTCACGCTGTTGCAGAAATGGCATTCAGAGCTGGAGGAGCAGGATCACATATTCAAGAGTCTGAGTTTAGAGGTCCAGCAGACTAGAGAGGTCAGAAACCAGCTCAACCAACTGCACCCTGACCGCAGCCCTGAACTGGACCGCTATCAGGAGAAAGCGCAACAGCTCACAGAGAGGTGGAGTGGAGTGAGCAGGCATATGGAGACACGGTGAATTGTTGCGAAGTCAAAAGCGAGAGAATGAGTACCAATATTTTCTGTAATATTCCAGATTATAACACAAAGCATAATGTCCTACAGGCAAGCGGATCTGGAGATGCTGGGTTCAGTGCTGCAGCAGTACAGAGAAGGCCACACCTCTCTTATCCACTGGATAGAGGAGACCACCAAAAAACAGGAGAACACGCAACCCGAGCAGACGGACAGCAGAGCTTTGTCAGAACAGCTCGCACAGCAAACAGTGAGAGACGACACTCTCACAATATTGATGAATACTTCCAAGTGTTGTAAAACAGATCAGTGTTTGATTCAGTATCTGTTCTTCTGCAGGCCTTGGTGGCTGAGATAGAACAGAACCAGGTCAAACTGGATGAATGCCAGACGTACTCTAAACAGTACTGCGCTGCTGTTAAGGTAAGCACTCAGTCAAAGTGACAAGTGTCGGCTACTGCTTACTGGTAGTCATCATGGAGAAATGGAAACATAAACACTTGTTTCACAAAATATATTTCTCCTTACTAGACCATGTCTGCCATTTTATGCATTAGGACTATGAACTCCAACTTATGACGTTCAGAGCTTTTGTTGAATCAACCCAGAAGTCCCCTGTGAAAAGGAGGAGGATGCACTCTTCATCAGATGTCATCACACAGGAGGTAAATGCAGGAAAACCAGGCTCATATGACATTAATTTAATATATTTATAACATTTATATTAGTTTTCATGTTGACTTCAAATGTTTTAATCACATTTTTCTACTACATCTTAGTTTATGGATTTACGCACACGCTACACAGCTCTGGTTACCCTGACAACGCAACATGTCAAGTATATTAGTGATGCACTACGGCGACTAGAGGAGGAAGAGGTGTGTTATGCTTTCCTAAGTCTCCTACATTCAGTTTTGATTTTTACCTACTGTATACTTGCACAAGTATTCACATAATAAAGACAAAATCAGATTTCATCATACAGTGTATGTCTAATGAAAATGTTTCCACTTTGTGGTACAGAAAGAGGTGGAAGAAGAGAGGCAGGCACGAGTGGGCCAGGTCTCAGAGCTGCTCGGCTGGGTCAAGGGCCTACAGGAGCACACTGGCAGATCTGCCAAGCCATCACTTGCTGCACAGCAGGTAGATTTTGAGTGAAAATAGAATATTGCCTATTTTTAAGTATTCTACAGACAGTAGTGTGTCAGTCAACACTGAGTAGATTGTATGTGTCAAAGTGGCTTTGAAATACTGTATCTGTCTCACTTCTAGGCTATTAGTGAGCAGTTAGCAGCTAAAAAAGAGGAAGTTGCTGAAGCTATCAGGAGCACCCAAGTTTTCCTGATGTCAAAACAGGCCAGCAAGTGAGTTTGCACTATACGACCTTCAACACACATACAGCGGTTCTCAGACTTTTTATACCAAGTGCTACCAAGTCGAGATCAATCTATTTCAGAGCATTTACTCCAGCTCATATTTGCAACAACTTAAAAAAAAAAAGTCTTGTCTTGTCTTATTTTTTTCTGATTAAAATGGATACAAGAAGAAATAGCCTGCAAGCTGCAGCATATAAATTAGATTGTAAATAATTAAGAAATTTGAAATAAATTATACATGAGAAATGTTTTCAGTATATTTAATAAAAATATTTTTGAAGATATGTTTACTTGAATTTTGCAAAGACAAGTGGGATTTGAACAAAAATATTTTTAGTGTTTCAAAATTTCAGAGTTGTGTACCTTGCCACTTGCAGTGCTGTTTTAGTATTATTTATATACTAGTATAATATTCATATTTTGAATTATATTTTATGTTCAGTTTTAATACTATTTTCATTTTTAGTTCATTATAGTGATTTTATGTGCTTTTGTCATTTTATATTAGTTGTTTTCTATTTACCTTTCATTTATTTTTATTTCAGCTTTATTTTAATTATCAAATATGATTTTTAATAGATTTATTTTACAGTAACCCTGGCCTCTTGGGGTTGTGCTGTGTACCATAGTTTGAGAACAACTGCACTATATTCACATCCACCTCTAAGTACCAGTAAATGTTAAATATGCATGCACTTACTCAAACACAAACGCATACGTTGTTAGTAATGAAGCGCATTTATCTTTAGGCTGTCTCCTGAAGAGCGTGCACAGGTGGTCTCCCAGCTGGATGAACTGACGGCCACCTACACTCAACTGTGTGACAGTTCTAACGCACAGTTGCAACAACTTGAGGAGCAGCTGGCCAAAGAGGAGAAGCGCAAGGTAGAGTTAGAGGGGCAAGAGAAAGTCAGCCGTGACAGCAGTGTTCAACTTTGCCAAAGCAAGCTTCAACAGCAAAAAGCTTGTCTTGAAATGCTTCTGAAATATATTGCTTTAAATAGTGGTCTTCGTTATGGTCAAGTTTTGTCAGTGTGCTAGAGATATGCTACAGCAGTGTGTATGTGTGAGCTAGAGCGAGTGAATTATTATTATTTTTTTTTTATGTTGCCTGTCACGTGTGGTTTAACGTTCATCACCAAATTCATACATCTCACAGATATTGTCTTATTTAACACTTATAAAAAATTAATAGCATGGTGTGAAATCTAAACCATTCCTATTTTCTACAACATGCCTGATATCATGTCACCAACACCATCCTTATTTGTCATTATTAATCAAGCACATCTGCTTAAACGCAACTCATCGTTCATTAGAGTAGGATAGTGTGACTTTTTGGCATCAGAAACTGCTTCTTTAGCCACTTTAGTGCCCATTGAAGCCACATGCACATTGTAGATTAGCCTTTTCTTTCTTTCTTTTTCTTTTTTACATTTCATTTAAATAAGGCACATATAAACATGTAAATGTAAAGGCATAAATGTCATTACATTCATATTGTTTTGTTGCCACATGCAGCCACGAACATTGTGTAGAACTGTTCACCCATACGTATATCATTCATCATGTAGTGATTACTGTGTGAACAATGGTATGTTTGTGTTTGAATGGCTAGAAGCTAAAGATATAAACAAGATCAGAAAGCAATCTTCAAAATATTTTTCCTGTGGATTGGTCTAGACTTAGCGCAAAAAGCAGCTATTGCAAACCTCCACCTCACTCTTTGAGCATGATGTGTCCAGATCACAGCTATGTTTGTTTGTGTGTTTGTATGTGTGATATTGTCTGTTTTCAGTCCATGTCTTTAATACTGTAATTCTTTGTGAAATTTAATCAGCATTTTGCTTCAAAATCACTAACAGCTGCTGGGAGAAAATGTAAGAATTTCTATCTTCTCAGAATTGGGAGTAAGAAAAATGTGTTATTCAGAATGCAGGACTATCCTTAGTTGATTAGTAATAAAAAAATTATGTGTATATACCAACCAAGATCTTCACACATTCATAGGTAAGTCTCAAAACAAATATTTAGAAAGAACTCAGTGTATGAAATTAGGTAACAGAGGTATGAAAATGTAGATAGCCAGTCCCGGGTTGCATATCAGGCAGCTGGAGTGTGGCATGCAGATCGCTAACATCCGGCTTCTCACCCTATCGCACCTCAAACCGCCGAACACTCAGTGTGTGTGCGTCTAAGGACCACCTCACACGGTAAGTAGTGCTTGCTTTCTTTCTTACCGTTGCTTTCTTTCTGACCTAGCAATATGTTCTTAAGATCTGTTTTCTCTTTTCTTTGGCCTCTTAGTGTATTTTAAATGTTCAGTTTGTGCATTTTTGCATATTTTTTGCACACTGCAGTGCTGTCCTGCCAAATGTTTTTTGCATGTACAAAATGTAATGTTTTTAAAGAACATGATACTTGGTATTTTTGTTCATTTTTCTTTATACTCATGAATAAATGCATGAGTATTAGTATCAAGATGATTGCTTCTTATGCTGATTTAAGTTACTTCAGCTATGGTGATGGGCATTTTTCTCTTTCCCTCCCAGTTAAACTGTGAATAAAAATACACTGCAAAATCAAATAAGAACCATTTTGAAAATTTATGATTTTTACCTTTTCATAGGGCCAAGAAGTCATCGCTGGAGTAATTGACCTTGGCACCATGGAAACCTTTCCAGTTTTCCAGGCAGCTCAGCGTGGCCTCATAGACCAAGACACCTGTCATGTACTGTTGGAAGCACAGGTTATCATGGGTGGTCTATTCCAGTATGACTCCCCTGATAAACTGTCATTAGATAAGTGGCTTTCCAGTGGTTTGATTGATAAACAAACTTACCAATCACTGGAAGAGTTAGAGACTGCCCTTGGTCTTGTCAACACAGTAAAATTTGCAGAGGGTCAGGAATTACCAGTCGCCACTGCTATGAAAGAAGGTGTCATAAAGCAGCTGGTGGGACTACGTATACTTGAGCTGCAGATAAGCACTGGCAGCCTGAAGTTTGGTCCCAATGGAGAAATGGTCAGCCTGGATAATGCAAGGGAGAAGGGATTGTTATCCCCTGATCTTTGTCAAAAGCTGCAATCCTGTCTTCACCGGCGAGAACTTATTGATCCAAATACAGCAGAAAAACTAAGTCTGGTTGAATTTCAACAGCGTTGTGTTGTCAATCAAGAGACGGGTCTGCGCTTCTTTCCAGTTAAACAGAAGCCAGGAGGAACTGTCTGCTTATGCTCTGGCAGAAAGGTGGGAATATTCTGTGCTGTTCAAGAGGGGCTTATCGACCGGCATGTCACAGTTCGACTTCTGGAGGCTCAGTTGTTTGCTGGAGGTATCACAGACCCCCGCTCGGGACACAGATTGACTGTTAATGAGGCTGTCCGGCATGGCCTAATGGATCAGGACTTGGCCTGCACCCTCATGACAAGACAGCTACAAGCAGGGGGAATAATAGATCCAATCAGTGGGGAGCGTCTAGAGTTGGATGAAGCCATAAAAAGAGACCTTCTCTCTCCTCGCATAGCCTTACATGTACTTCAATCTCTCCAGTCTTTCATGGCAATGATGTGGCCAGAATCAGGGGAGTTGCTTCATGTAAGTGAGGCACTTCAGCAGGGTGTTGTCAATAGAGAGCTTGCTGCAAAAGCCCTGAGAAAACGTCATTCTGTTGGTGCAGTATATCTCCCTGAGAGTGGACAGGTGGTCCCTCTGCATCAAGCTGATAAGATACTTAAGCCTCAGGCAGTGGAGATCCTAAAACAGATCCAGGTTCCAGATGTCCTTCCCAATGTGACTCAGTCAAGTTCCTCATATATGAAGCGATTGAGTTCTGGATCTGCCTATTCTTCATCACCCCCTGCTTCACATGCAGATGTCAATTACGACTTTTCCATCATGGAGGAAGGTAGGTCAGAAGAACAGGTTCAATACCACCTTCTCACTCAAGTGATGACACACAGCTACATTGATGCTCACTCAGGAGAACGTCTAGTCCTACTAGAACCTGAACTGGTAGAACTAATATGTGAAAATGTTAAAACCACAAATCTTGTCAGACCAGTCCAACACAAAATCTGTGATAACATTAGAGTTACAATGGACAGCGAAGCTATTAGTGGGATTGAAGAGGAAGAACATGAAGAACCCAAAATTATACAATATGATATTGCCTGCAAAGACTCTTATTTGGAAGAGACTATAGAAATGTCAGGGGAAGATCTTGCACCCTTGATGGTCACCAACAAAACCTTTAAAGAGCCTTTGCATAAAGTAGTTTTGCAAGAGAAAGTTCTATCATCAGAAGAGTATGAACAACCCAAGATAAAAGGTAAAATTGTCTGCAAGATCACTGATATAGGAGAGACAGTAGAAAGAACAGAAGATCTTGTACCATTGACAGAAACAAACATAGCTTTTAAAGAGCTTTCAAATGAAGAGATTCAAGAAGTTTTGTCATCAAGAGACTATGTAGAACCCAAGGTTAAAAAAGGTGACATTGACAGGAAGAACACTGACATGGGTAAGACTATAGAAGGAGCAGTGGAAGATGTTGCATGCTTGACAGGCACAGACAGAACTTTTATAGAGCCTTCACATGCAGAGGTTTGGCATGAGAATGTTCTATCATCAAGAGAATGTGAAGAACCCAAGATTAAAAAAGATGAAATTGAGAGCAATAATACTGTTGTGGGTGAGTCTATCGAACTGGCAGAGAAAGATCTTCCACACTTGGTGAGTAAAGACAGACCCTTTATAGTGCCTTCACATAAAGAGAACTGGCAAGAGAAAGTTTTGTCACCAGGAGGACATGAAAAACCCAAGGTTTTAAAAGGTAAAATTGCCTGGACAAACACTGATATAAGTGAGACAGTAGAAAAAGTAGAGGAAGATCTTGCACCCTTGGCAGGCACAGCCAGAGCTTTTATAGTGCCTTTACATAAAGAGAACTTACAAGAGAAAGTTCTATCGTCAGGACAATATAAAGAACCCAAGAGTAAAAAAGATGAAATTGCCAGCAAGAAGACTAACATAGGTGAGACACAAGATCTTGCAGCTTTAAAAGGCTCAGAAATAACCTTTATAGAGACTACACATGAAGTTGTTTGGCAAGAGAAAGTTCTGTCATCAGGAGAGTATGAAGAACCCATTATTATGAAAGGTAAAATTGCCTGGAGGAACACTGGTATGGGTGAGATGATAGAAAAAGCGGAGAAAGATTGTGCACCCTTGACAGACGCAGACAGAGCTTTTATAGAGCCTTTAAATAAAGAGAATTTACAAGAGGAAGTTCTTTCATCAGGACAATATAAAGAACCCAATATTAAAAAAGATGAAACTGTCAGCAAGAAGACTAACATAGGTGAGACACTAGAAAGACCAGAGGATGTTGCAGCTTTAACAAGCTCAGAAATGAACTTTATAAAGCCTACACATGAAGTTGTTTGGCAAGAGGGAGTTCTGTCATCAGGAGAATATGAAGAACCCATGATTATGAAAGGTAAAATTGCCTGGAAGGACACTGGTATGGGTGAGATGATAGAAAGAGCAGAGAGGGATCTTGCACCCTTAACAGGCACAGAAGGAACTTTTATGGAGCCTTCACATGCGGTTTTACAAGAGAAAGTTCTGTCATCAGGAGAATGTGATGAATCTACAATTTTAAAAGGTAAAATTGCCTGGAGGTATGCTGATGTGAGAGAGACAATAGATAGAGCAGAAGGAGATCTTGCACCCTTGACAGTCACAGAAGGAACTTTAATGGAGCCTTCACATGAGATTTGGCAAGAGAAACATTTGTCAGGAGAATGTGATGAACATAAGATTAAAAAAGATGTTATTGACAGGAAGAACACCGAAATGGATGAGACTATAGAAAGAGCAGAGGAAGAGCTTCCACTCTTGACAGCCACAGTAAGAGCCTTTATAGAGCCTTCACAAGAAGATTACTGGCAAAAAAAATTTCTGTCATCAGGACTATATGAAGAGCCCAAGATTAAAGTAAATAAAATTGCCAATATGAAGACTGATCTGGGTGAGACTATAGAAAAGACAGAGGAGCATCTTGCACCCTCGACACTGAAAGACCTAAACTTAACAGTGCCTTTTCACACAAGCTCAACTCTACTGAAGACTATATCAGATAATGGGGCGCCCTCTCAGAATCAAATTATAGATTCAACATTAAATGAGTCTAAAAAAAAGCAAACACTTGTCCTGGAACAAGCAGATAGTAGTGGGGTATTTCTAGAGATAACGGAACAAAAAATGTTTGACATGAGTGAAGGCAGTGCACATACTTCACTACAAGATACTGTAAATGTAAGACAGTATGATCAGCTGAATGTCAAACCAGATGAAGCCAAGACTGCAAAACAGCCAGAGGAACTAAACAAAATGGTTGAACATGAGGAAAATAAAATAATCTTTTATCAGCCTGGTAATGATGAGAAATTATACCCTTCAGAAAGGAAGACTTTGTCAGTGGAACTAAGTGATGATGATGTGAAGCTTGGGAGTACGGCAATGGATCTGCAACAAGGGGGTCTTGTAACTGTAGGTGGCCAGAAAGTTCTCTTGGATGAAGCTCTGGCACAGGGTTTGCTTCCAGGGCACACTGCTATTAAGCTTATGGAAAAAGCTGGTCTCTTTGGTGGTTTTCTGGATATTAAAGCCTGTAAGTCACTTAGTGTTGAGGATGTGATGCAAGAAGGCCTGTTGGATGAGGACTTGATGGCCCGTGTTCGTCATTCAGAAAATATATTAGCCGGTGTGATTGATGTGGAGCATGGTCGGCTTTGCTCAGTAAAGGAAGCTGCTGAGGCAGGCCTGTTGGACTCTGATACGGCTGTTCGACTTATTGAAGCCCAGGTTGTGTCAGGGGGAATAGTTGACCTACGAAGAGACAAGAAGGTATCAGTTACCCTTGCAGCCAACCTTGGGTTGATTGAAGAAGGTAGGAAAGAGAAGCTTCTTTCACTGGAAAAGTCATGCAGAAGAAAATGTTCAGATCAAAATGCAGTGCAAACCAAGTTTGCACTACAGTTACAAATAAAAGGAGTGGTGGACCCAAAAACCGAAAAGCCTGTCCCACTGGAACAAGCCCTTCAAACTGGCTTAATTGGACAGGATGAGGCTCAGATGATTCTATGCCAGCAGGTTGCAGAAGGTGGTATTGTGCATCATGGCTCTGGTGTTCGCCTTACTGTTGTGGATGCACTACACCTGGGTCTCATAAATCACACAGTCGCTCCAAAGTTGATGGAACTGGAAAAGGCTTTCAAAGGCCAAGAGCCATGTAGTTTGGATCAAGACACTTCATTTCTTCAGGCCTCTACAGGTTCTATTTATGATGATGCATCAAAAAGCAGGATTACTCTGAGCGAGGCTGTTTCTAAAGGCCTTCTAGATGATGAAACGGCAAATAAAGCTATGGCCTCACCCAATGTGAAGAGCGGATTGTTGGACCCTCATAAAGCTTGTGTTGTGTCATACTCTGAGCTGATAAACCAGGGTAAAATTGACATTGAGACAGGACAGAGATTCCTTGAAGTGAGACCTTTCAGGGGTGTTCCACATAAACAAACTGATGAAATGATGACCTTACCACAGGCAATTAAGGCAGGCCAAGTAGATCCCATACCAGCAGTGAGAGTATTGCAGAGTCAAGCAGATTCTGGGGGTATCATTAACATTTATAGTGGAGAGCGTTTGCTTCTTCCAGAGGCTATAAATAAAGGCTTAGTTGATAAAGACATGGCTAAATGTATTGCTACAAATCAACTCTTGAAAGGGGGGTTGCTCAGTCCAGCCAGTGGACAGAGGGTCTCCAGCATTACTGAGGCAGTTGAATATGGGCTTATTTCGACAGAAATGGCTGCAGAACTTCAACACAGCATGGGCCTTGTAGATGAAGATGAGAGGAAAAGTTCCAAAATACCTGCTTCTTTAACGAAAGGACCATCTAGTTCTTTTTTTCCTGAGATGATATCAGAGCGGGTCAGTCCTAATAAAATGTCACTTGAGAAAAGTCTATTGAATATACCATCCCCACCATCATCATATCTTACAGAGGCTGAAATAAAAGATGCAGATCCTCTGAAAAAAGAGGAGCTTGAATCTTTTGACGTCCGTCCTGATTTACAAAGTAAGGAACAATTGGTTGATGCAGTGATGCAGGACAGCAATGATACATCATTGGAGGTTCTGACAGAATTTACCTTGAAAGCAGAAAAGAGACTTCAGCAGGCCATTAAAGTGATAAAGCCCACAGAAAGCGAATATATAAAATCACAGCCAATTCAAAGCCCTGAGCAACCTGAAGAGATTACTGACATCAAATTGCAAAAGGTGGAAGTTAAGAACTCAACAGCTTTACTTGACAACACCACAGAGTTGGAAATCCAGAGGCAGACAGTAAATAAATCTGCAGTTTCTACTGCCATATTATTAGAAAGCAGTGATAACAGCAAGGAACAAGTCCCATCTACAGAGCAAACAAAAGGAGAGAGAAAGATCCAAAGGCAGACAGTAAGTGAACCTGCAATCAATTTATCAAACACTGATGATGGCTTGCAAAACAAGGAACAAACCGCATCTATAGAGCAAATTGAAGGGCATAGTTTCAAGCTAGAAGCAGATCAGTCAGTGTCCAAACAAGAGAAAATCAAGGACAGCCAGGAGACTGGATTGGATCCTTATGCTTCTACACCCACAAGGCCAGTTAAGGCATCAGGAAAAAAGAAAGGCAGAGGGAAAAATGTTAAGCAATATAAAATGGAAATTGATGTAAAGCCACAAGTTTCAGACACCGTAGCCAGGATTTCACCTATAGAAAAAGCAGAAGATGATGGACAAGGTGGCTTTACCACTAGTCAAAAGCCTATTATGAAAGACGATGAAGAGAAGGTGATTGAAGTACAGCTATCAGAGACACCCCATGCAAGTGGTATCCTTACACCTGTGACAGGGAGTGATGAGACTGTGCAAGGCAAATATTTGGAAGTAGGTGTGTATAGAACTCCTAATGAAACTGAAACCTCCAACCGTGAGTCTGATCATGAAAGCAATGCAAGACAGAAAGAGAAGACTCTAACACAGCACAGTGTCACAACTTGCATGGCAAAAACTGACCAGGGTCAGGAGGCTATTGACGTCTCTAAGGACCTTGCCACTGATATATCAGAAAAGAAGAGAAAGAAGAAAAGCAAAAGTAAAAAAGTTAAGCAAGTGTGTATTGTTGAAGCAGAAGGAGTAGAGAAAAGAGATGATGAGACTGAGAAAGAGCATAAGACTGTGATCCATGAGGTCGAACTTCAAAGCAGTCAATCAGATGAGAAAGAAAGTATGAAGCAACTTGAGAAAGCCAATCAGGCAATGGCACAGAAGGAAAAACTTTTGATGAAAGCTAAGGAAAGCATTCTTAGGAAGGTGTTTGAGCGAGGAGTGAGTGAAAAACAAGCTGCTGAAGAATTAGAAGCGATGCGTCAAGTAGCTAGTAATGGAGAATACCGCATTACCACCCAAGAGGAAACTATTGTAGAGAAGACAAGCTATAAGCCTCCTCAAAGTAAGAAGAACGACAATAAACTACACCAGACGGGGCAAGAAATGAACAAAAGGTCAGTGCCAGACATGGCAGAGAATCTTCTACCTGGGTCTGATAGCGATCTATGCTCCTCAGCTAAAGCACAGCTTCAAAAACAGGAAGAAGATCAACATGACAAGCATACAAACACGGGATTAAGTGGAGATGATATGAATCAGAATATTCCATCTATGAAAACCTCTGATGACATTGTGAACATAAACCAGAAAGAACTGGTTCTAATCCAGAATTTAGAAGGGGAAACCAAAGAAAGAACAGCAGAAAAACAAAGCATTGAGCCATTATATACAGATGAAATGTTGATAGAGCCTATGAGTGAATTGACCTTGCCATCAAGCACTGCAGTGACTGACAGCCATGAAATTGCTAAATCAATAGCCCTCAAATGTGTCTTTGACATCCCAGCAGTGAAGGACTCCAAAGCACTTCTATCAAGTGAGGTGTGTACTCCTTTACAAAATACCAAAACAGCAGTGAAAAAGGTAAGCAGTGAAGTTCATCAAGAAAGAATCGAGGAGCCCCCTTTCAGTGATTATGAAGGCACAGATGAACCTTCTATACAACAATGTAAAGTTTCTGGTCTACCCCATATGGAGGTGATCCCAGAGTCTGCTACCAAACAGAAAGAAGAGGTGGAAGAATATGCAGAGGCTTTAGTGGAACCGCAGCCTGGAGAAGTTCAAATTAATATTGAACAAATAAGAAAAGACACCACAAAAGCTAGCAAGGTAAACAGTAGTTCTGAAGATCTTTCTTGAAGTTTTTGTAAATTGTTTACTGCAAATTGATTCTTTTTAATCTTTTCCTTTCCTTTTCAGACCTCACTGGCTCGCCAAGAGTGCTTAGAACATGACCAACAGATTGTGGCTTTGCTTTCTATGGTGAGACACATTGAGGTCCGCCTAAAGCAGCAGCAGCAGCAACAGTCCGTTGGTCGAGGTCTCTCCACAATCGATGACATAATCAAACAGATAGAGGTAAAAGATATGTATTACAGCAAATGTTTGATATGTTGCCAATTTAACAGGTTGTTTAAGCTTACAAGTGCTGTATTTTAATTTAATTCTCTTTTCAGATGCTTTTTCTGGAAATTAGTGACCTGGAACCAGAAGTGCACAAGGACACTGAAGCAGCTACACAGCTGCTGGAGTCTTACCCTCAGGATGTTCCACCTCAGCTGCTTAAGGCCCTGGAAAAAGATGGGCGAAGCTTAGCTCGGGCTTACAGTGCAGCCAGGGACCTTGCCCAGAATACTTTGCAGGGGTTACGAGCACAACGTGATGCACTAAATGTAATAAAAATTCCTACAAAGTTTAGTTTAGAGAGTATTTTTTTCATGACAGAAAAGTTTCTTTTAAATCTCTTTGCATGATTTTTATATTTTTACAGGAAGCTGTAAGCAGTCAGCTGAAAGCTTTACTAGAGCAAGTTGATAAACTTCTTATCTGGCTTAAGGAGACTGAGACACAAATGCAGGAAGAAACAGGGGTACATGGACAGACGGTGGCCGAGATCACTCGAAAGCAACAGTTGTGCAAAGTAAAACATCGACAGTCATGATATCCTATCTAGAATTTACAGATATTTTCATTTGTAGTTACAATGATGGCATCTTTTTGACAGTCGTTCATTTTTTTCCCTACAGATGTTACAGAACTCTCTTGCTGCCCGATCCAATGAAGTCAGCAATGTGGCGTTCAATATTCAGGTGTTTATCTCTGAACATGCTCAGGACCTGTTGCCTGATCAGAGCAGGCGTCTCCTTGGACAACTGGAGCAGCTACAGAGGGTCTTTCACCAGGCTGTTGGTCTCAGTCATGCCAGGGCAGAGGCACTATCAGCCCAGCAGGCGAGAGAGAACCAACAAATGAGGAAAGAACAGAAAGAAAAAGAAGAGAGAATGGAAAAAGAGAGACAAACTACAAGGGATAGAGAGGTTTGCAAAGAGATGTATAAATGCTTGTGCTGCCAAGTTAAAAGCAAGAATATTCAATTTTACTTTTAACAGTCTCACAATCATTCAACTGGGATAAAGAAAAACTTCTAATGCATTAAGAACAGAACATTTGAGGTAACAGATAACCACAGTACTGATGCATGCATGAATACTTGTTAGCACGAATGCTGCATTTAAAAAATGTAAATAATCTTCACATGCATGTAACTATCAGTATGATCTACTTGTACAGTTAATTTTACAGCGCTATAATAATGCTGATCTGTTGTTTCAGTAATGCTTCTGCAGAACTCAACAATAACGACTTTTGTTTGCTGGCCAAGTCAAGCCAGTAGTTTAGATTTTTAGTTGCCTTAGAATTTTTTTACTGGCCCCACTGCTAAAACATTACTTTTTTAGCAACACATTTTTATGTGTCAGGAACAATAATTTAAAAATACTAATTATAAACCTTTATATTATTTTTATTTATATATTAAACGATACATATATTTATTTAGGAATTACAGAAATTACAACTAATTTTTGATGTTTTATATTTGTACCTGAAAATTTTACAACTATATTGTATTGAAAATGTACAGCTTTGAAGTGCATACTGTGCATAAGTCCAGTATTCTGTTACAGCTCTAAGATTCATACTTCAGCTTCCTACTTTTGCTAAAAAACGTTGTGTATATAATGCTGTACTCACATAGTGTATAATTATTAACTTATGCTTTCAACACTATCACAAGTCACATTTTTGACAAAACCTCATGTATATTATCCAGCTACATAACATGACCTTATTTCAATAGAAATCTTTATTGTTGAGCTTTGTTCTGTAGCCACCTGCATTACAAACTTGAGTGTGCGAGCTGCGTGTGAATGAACATAACATGTATATTAACCTGTCTGCCTTGCTCTTACAGATTGCCACAGAAGACACATTTGGAAAACACCAAAGATTTAAATGTAGCCTCACTGTATAGCTTGCTTGTTTTTAACCTTTCTTTTGTAGAAAAAGAAGAAAATATCTGAGATGTTTTAGTATTTGTCCTAAGGTCTTTTGTTTATTTTTCTGCTTCACTGGCCTGTTGTGTTTTTATTTGTTTATTTTGGTGCTTTGTGTGATGAATTTGGGCACATCATGCTCAACCAGTGTAAATTTTTTACTTTGTGTGAAATCTGGCAAGTATGAGAGTTTGGGGTAAAAACGATAGTATGATGAATACTTAGAAGTTTAAGAGAATTATGATTATAATTGATCAAATGCAAATCTTTATCACTTTTTTTACCTCCCTTTTTACCGTGGATATAGGTTGTGCAGCAGCAGAAGGCAGAATGCTGTCAAAAACTGGAGAATCTCACAATGTGGTTGGCTGGTGCTGCCAGCCTCTTGGCCAATCAGAGAGTTGGAACCGAGTCAGATGATGTGAACGAGTTACAGCAGAAGCAAAGAGAGCTTAAGGTGTGATAGCATCTGATATTTACTTCATGCAGCTATATTACACAATGTCTTGCATAAGACATTAATTGTTTTTTTTTATTTAATTGTGATGTTTGGTTTATTGTTATTGTTTATACCCCATAAATAAAGGAGGTGGAGAAGGACCTTCAGACCAAAAGTGACTTGTTGACTGAGACTATCCACTCAGTGGAGGAGTTGCTGTCTGAGCAGGGTGACAGTTTGAGTCCTGAAGAGAGGGCCAAACTACAGGGGACTCTTTCACAAATGAAAGAGAAGCACGGCTCACTTACAAACTCAGTCCGCTCTTCACTAAGTAAAGTAGACACTGCCATTGTCACAACACTGCAACAGAACACACAAAGAGTAAGCAGTTCACATTTTTTCTGTCGCATATGTCAGCATTTCTTATTCTTTTTTTAATCATTATCATATTTTCATTCTTCCCAAGGCTAAAGCAGAGGAGCAGATGCAGGAGACACAGGAAAAAATAGACACACTTCTCAGAGAATTGTCATCACTGGATGACTCAAAGAGGAGGTCACTTGGCAACACTGTCACTGACACCCCATCATCTGTACCACCGGAGAATGCTATAAATTCCCACAGTGACATGCTTCAGGTCAGATTCTTAAATTGATGTTGGTAATTATCTGTTTTACCAATATGGCAACTCAATTCTAAAGTTCATTCATGTGTTCAGTTCTAACGTAAGTTCTAAAGAAGTGGTTCTCAACCTTTTTGACTCAATTGTCCACAGCAATATTCAAAGACCCTTGACTCTTCCAGTTATTCGTGATTTACTGGATAAGGATTTAAAAAAATATTTTTTATTTCTACCTGAAAAAATATTTTAGAACTTGTCATAACTAGAAAAATATATATTCATTAAAAAAATTTAGATGAGATTTTATTGATTTTCATGACTTTTCCAGATCTGGAAATCAGACTTTTAAAAATTAGGCTACCATATATTTAAGTTTTGGAAGCCCTTGGAAGTTTGCTTAAGCCCCTTGTGGGCCCTGGCCCCCTGATTAAGAACCTTTGTCAGTTATAAAGTTCTGAAGTTGCAAAGTTTGTTTTTTAAAGTTCAATAAATTTTTTGGACAGCCCTAAAGCAAGTTCTTTCAATTGTTCAGTGTTTAGTTCCATGGATTCTAATGTTTAATATTAGTCAATCATGTCTGTCAGCAGTACCCAGTTTGCATTTTGTTGATTCCACCAGAGTGAGCTGCAGCAGTTACAAGCTCAACAGGCTCACCTTCAGCAGGTGGCCCAGTCTGTACACTCTCTCCTGGAACAGCCCGACTCCAGTGTGCCGCCAGAGGAGAAACAGCGCTTACGGGCAAAACTAGAACAATTACAGAATCAGCATCAGGAGCGCCTTCAGAACTGTCAGGACAGGCTGAGGCAGGCAGAGGCCCTCGGAGATGAGTTTGCCAAGTTTGTGCAGGAGCATGGGAACCTAGGGACATGGCTGGATCAGAGTGAACAAGAGCTACGTTCACTCGGTGAAGGGGAAACTGATGCAAAGGGCCTAAAAGATAGGATTGAGGAGCACAAAAAGGTATCAAAATATGGTCTAACATAATAAATTTACTTCAGGTAGAAAGTAAAATACTTTAAGAATGTGTTTCTCTGTATTTTACAGCTTGCAGAAGATGTCATCTGTCACAAAGCAGATCTGCGCTTTGTGACAATCTCTGGGCAGAAGGTTCTGGATTCTATCCAGGGGGCCTTGGAGAAGGTGGGCAGTATGGATCCAGCTCTGGAGGAAACCAGACACCTAGTGAGTGGCAAGCTCCAAGACGCCACACAGCGCTATGGTTCATTACACAGCAAGGTGGGTACAAAACAACCTTGTATTCTTTCAGTCAACAATGACATATTATGGGCTGAAGAGATACAGAATCTTGTGTGTTCCTTCTTTCAGTCCTCAGAGCTTGGCACCCGTCTCTCAGGTCTCCTGGAGCGATACCAACACTACCAAGATGAGGCTGGCTCTTTAGTCTCCTGGCTGAGCACTCAGGAGCAAAATCAGAGTGTATTTAAAGCCAGCGGAGAGCAAACAGACACTCAGACATTGCAGCATACGCTCAGTACTGTACAGGTTGGGTTATTAATGCTTTTCTGGCTAAAATATTTGAGGAAAACTCACAAACAATTTTACCATATGGATAAACTAGTGGAAACGATCACCTAAGCAAAATGTAGTTTCCATACTCTCTTAGGAATCATCATAATTAATCAGCTTATTATCTCTTCTGCTGTATTTTCTTAGCTGTTGCAGGATGAGTTGGCAGAGCGTTCGGTACAGCTTGAGAAGGTCAGGAGGGCAGGAAAAGAGCTGGTCAGCACTCAGGAGTCCCCTGCTCTCAAAAATGCAGATATTAACAATCTTACAGGTAATTTCATTCTCAGTATCAGGAAATAATTTACTTGAAAGAGTGTTCATTCCACCAGGAAATTGAAATGAGCACAGTAAAGTGCTCACCAAGGCTGTTTTTTTTATTTATTTTTTTATAAAAAATACAGTAAAAACAGTAATATTGTGAAATCATTTTATTGCGATTCAGAATATCTTTTCTATTTGAATATATTTTAAAATGTATTTTATTTTTGTGGTTTAAAAGTAGAATTTTCAGCAGCCATCACTCCAGTCTTCAGTGTCACATGATCCTTCAGAAATCATTCTAATCTGCTGATTTGATGCTCAAAAAGAAATTTTATTGATATCAGTGTTGAAAACAGTTGTGCTGCTTAATATAAAACATTTTTTCTTTGGATTTCTTGATGAATAGAAAGAACAGCATTTATTTGAAATATAAATATTTTATAACAGTATGAAAGTTTTTACTGTCACTTTTGATAAATTCAATGTATCCTTGCAGAACAAAAGTTTTAAATTCTTTCAAAAAAAATTCTTAGCGACCACGAGCATCCAATTGAGCATCCAATTAACCCAACACGGCAATATTGGCTCAGTCAGTGACGTGTTTCACAACTCACTGGAATATTTGTTTTTGACTGGTAGATAAAGTCACTGTGATTTTAGTTTGATTGACAGTATAATTTATAGTGATTTTTCCAAAATACCCTTTTAAAAATAATACAAGACATGATCTGGTTTTTATTTTGTGCTACTGACCTTCTCACTTTATGTTGTCCTTTACATATATTTTAAACTTCCTCTTGGTCATTTCAGATACTCTGGAGAAGCGCTTTGAAATCCTGTCTAATTCAGTGTCAGTGAGAGCCGAACTGCTTCAAACAGCTGTTGCCCAATCAGTCAGCGTTCAGGAGGGGCTTAAAGCACTGCTGGCATGGTTAGATGGACTACCTTTATCACCTGGCGCAGTCCAGGCCACCGCTCAAGCAGTTCAGGATGCCCTGACACAAAATCAGGTATTTTGATAAATGTACCATCATAATCATAAGTAAAACTTTCCTTAACCAGGTATTATGTTTTCTACAAACATGGCACTTCCCCCTCAGAAAATACGTCAGGAGCTGCTTTCAAGGCAGGGCAGCCTGGATGCAACTTTGGACTCTGTGTCCAAGCTTCTGAAGTCTGCAGATGCATCGACAGCGTCTGGCCTGCAGGGGGCACTACAGGACCTGAGTCAGCGCTACACTGCGGCCCAGGCCAAACAGGCTGAAAGAGAGACTGAGTTGCGAGGACTTTTGCCCAAGTTGGAGAGCTTTGAGCGACAGAGTGCAGATCTCCACAGCTTTACGCAGAGTCGAGAAAGGGCTCTCAGCCCAGTAGGCCAACCTGACTGCAGTGTGGATGACTACAGACAGACCATAGAGGTTAGCGAATTAGGTTTTCCACATATGTGGCCACATATTTCTGTGGAAAACCTTTTCACATATTACACACTTTCTGAAAGATTACATGTTTATTGGCAGATGTCCAAAGGTATCATCATTTATCTCTTTTTCGTTCAAGGAGGTGAGATCAGAAATTACCCAAGAGTCGAGTCAATTAAAGTCATTTGTCGAGCTCGGTTCAGACCTAAGCCAGTCTGGGATCCTTGCCAATGTACAAAGCCTTCTGGACACAGCCAAAGAGGTTTCTGAGGACTTTGCACGTTTGGAATCCAATGTCAATGAGAGGTGAGTGGAAAGAGTTGTGAAAACATTATATTCCACCAGTGTTATTTTAGTATTGTTTTCCTGCATGATTATAATTTGTATTAATATTAATACAATATTAATTAGCTTTTATTTTCATATTTTTAGGTTTCATTTTAATTCTAGTTTAATTTTTAGTAATGATTGATGTTTTAAATATTAATAATTAAGTCTAGGTTTTTGTTTTTATTTTTTTCAGTTTAGTGAATTTAATGCTTGAACCAATTTAAAACGTATTTCAATTAGTTGCCAAAGCAACATTTCTAATTTTCATTTAGTTTAAGTTTTTTCTCAAATGTTTATTTGATTTTAGTTCAGCTTTTTTTCAGTTGGCAAATTGTTTTAAATAGTTTTAGCTAACAAATAATAACCCTGTCTTCCACATTTAACCTCTCTCTCCAGACTAGAAAAAAAATTAATGCTGTAATGAAATATTCAGGATATTGTAATATTGTCCCCCTTAATGTCAGTTACAGTCATGAGTAGAATAGTTAGTCTGTTCTAAGCTGTTCTCTGTGTCATAGTTTCATCTTGAAATGTGATGCCACGCCAACTCTAATTGCTTTGACATTTGACATGTGACAAAAATAAGACCAATCTCATAAAGACAGTATGGATGGGGGCAGAATACTCTCAGCCATAAAAAAATAGCATCATGCTAACCCAGTTTGACACCACTGTATCCGCCGTTATGGAAACCATTTGGCCACATCCCTCCTTAAGATGCCAGACTGGGGCTCCAAGCATTTCAGATGCCCTCAGAGACATAAAACAGTCGGTCATGTGTTCAAGTCTAAATCTACTCCACATATCTCTAGGAATACTAGTGAGTGGGAAGTGGGATTATTGTAATATAAACTGAATGTAAAGGGTAACATGTTGGGACATGACTTCTGACCCTAACAATGGTAGAGAGGCATGCTGTCCACATTAAGAGTCTGGAGTGGAGTCTGGCATGCAATGTCCTGATCTATCACCATGACCTAAAATAGTAGCATACAGTGTTGACATTAATAGGAGGTCAAAGATGTCTGGTTGTGTCCTTTTACAAGAAATTTTTTTCATGTAGAATTTCTGCTTTTTAAGGTGTGCTCTGAATTTTTTCCTCATTAAGATATTTTAAATTAAGAAAGGAATAATGCGTTTGAAAAAGAAGATGAAGTCCATTCACAAAAGCGGTTTTATTTTACATGGAGCAAGTTGTCTCATTGGACCCAGCATTGTGTTACCATTAACAAAACTGAATCTTTTTTTAATGGTTTGTTGATATTCATATAACTTTTTTCCTGTGTCCTTCACAGATTTGATTCCATCCAGAGCTGCGTCCAGCAACTGGCGGAGTTCCGCTCTCACTCTGGCTCGCTCCTCAGGTGGCTGCAGACAGTACAAGAACAACTTCCTGCCAAAGAGCCCAATCTAAGCACAGAAAGCCTGCAGAGAAGAGCACAGCAGCTTAAAGTAGGACTGTAGTTCTCTCTATTTACGGTGTTCTGACATCAGTTTCTGTTTTTAGCGAGGTGAGCTGTAATTAACATGTCTTATGAATTTACTTGTAGGATCTACTCACAGAATGGGAGACCCAAGGAAGCCAAGTTCAGGAGTTGAACAAGACCAGTTCACAACTGGAGAACTTGATTATTAACATCACATCCCCCAAGAACAAGGCTGGTAGGCAAAACAACATTATGGAAGTTCAGGGCCAATGCTCCTTTTTGTCTGTAGCTAGTACTTTGTGTTTCCACTGTGACATATTTGGTCCCCAAATCACCACTTATAGAGGATAGTTCACTCAAAAATGAAAACTGTCATCATTTACTCACCTTCATGTTCAAAACTAGTTAGCCTTTCTTTCAAGGGAAACAAAATTCTAATTTATAAAAAAAAAAAACTGGCTATAAGTATGAGCAAAAGCTTGATTTATGTTCTTAATTGTAGTTTTTATGGTGCTTTTTCATCCTTTCCCAATTAATTTATTACTGCATGGAAAAAAGCAATCCGTACGTTGCTCAATGTTCTCCTTTTGTGCTCCATGGAAACAAAAAAAAGTGATACCAGTTTGGAATGACATGAGGGTGAGTTTTTGAGTGAATTATCCCTTTAAGCATCTATCACCTTCCAAAGTACTAATTTTGAGCACACTATGTTTGTATATGTGTCTGTGTCTAAATCTTCTGTGTTGAGTATGTCTAGCTGCTTGTGTGTGTGTGTGTGTGTGTGTGTGCTGCTCCAGCATGCCTGTGAATTATTGTGGCATTGTCTGAGCGTGTGTCTGTGTGTCTTTCTCCCAGGTGTTTCCCAGCTCAATGGTGCTACCAGCCCCAACAGTGTTAATGGCATTCACACCTGTAAAGGTGAGCTTCCTCCACACCTTTAGCCAGTGAGCTGTGCAGCATCCACGTCACTGGAGGCTTTCCTCTATTAGTCATTTCCATTTGTTCTTCCCCTCTCATGGATAACTCCACATCTCTCTTCTTCTTTACCCTTTCACTCACTCTCCCTATTTTTCTTTGCATTGCTTCTTGTCCTGTTCTGTTAGTTTGCTTTAAGAGTATGTGCAGATTTGTGTCATCTGTCTTTGTGCATATATGACCAATTTGTCCAATCATTTAGGCTTTCTTTCATGCTGATGGTGCACATAAATCTGGTGCAAAGGACTGTTAACTCTGTTCACATTTTGCAAGTAATCAGTTTGTCTAGTCATTGTAGTCAATATCCAATATATTGGTTCCCATTGTAGTGCATCGACAAAACTGCAAGAGTAATGTAATGTCAAAAATAATGAATATTTTTGTGGTTTGGAGGGGGGTTTTTTTCTATGGAGCCTCACACATGGCATATATATTGTGGCCACGGATTTAAGAATTTGTTCTTGCAGCTTGCTAATTTGTTCCCTCTTTTCAGGTAAAAAATAATTGGAAACAAATTAGTACAATGTGGCCATGATTTATCTAAAACAAGGCAATTAATTAATGAAACGTCCTTGATTTTACTAAAACAAGGGTGAGTGTTACTAAAACATCCACAAATTAATAAATTATGGAGCAAATTCTTAATTTGTGACCGCAATAAATGTTATGTTCCACATATCATGTGCAGAACTCCATATGTTGTTCTTCACAACTGAATGGATTTTAGTCCAGTTAGTTAAAAAATAAAAGATTTATTGAAATGCTTAACCTTCAGCTTATATATCATTGCATGAAGAATAGCACAAACATGATGCAGTTTTATAACTATTTGGCCTTGTCATTGGCCTGCTCTGATTGTACTTACGTCAACATTCCTTCGCTCTTACCCTCAGACTTGACTGAGATCCAGGTGGCAGTGGCAGATGTGAACTGCATGTATGAGCAGCTGGGCAGTGATCTGAGGGAAAGGAAGGGTAGGCAAGAGGCCTCTCTTGACCTGCGGCAGAAGGCCAGGCAGGGCACTGAGGCACTCATCCAGTGGCTGAGCCCCCGTGAACAGAGCCTGGCACAAGGGCAGACCGCCTCACCTTCTCGGCCAGAGGTGGTGCGTGCTCAAGCCCAAGAGACTAAGGTATCATTTTGAGAGAATTTAATACTTTCTTAACAGTGGTATAAAAACTACATGCCCCCACAGTAATCCGGCAAATTTGTTTTCGTTTTCTGTAATTTTTCTGCAGTGTTTATCCCATAGTTCTCTAAAGGATTGTTAATCAGTAGGCTAGCAATCATTGATTACATTGTGACAGCTGACAGTCAGGTATATGTTTCCAGGTTTTGTTTTCTGAACTTGCCGAGCATTCTGGGAAAGTGGAGGATCTGAAGAACATTCTCAAGCAGCTAATAACAGATAATCCAGACTCTCCTGAAGCTGAGACATGGAAACGTCAGCTTGAAGACATAGGTCAGTGAAGTGTTTTAAATGCATTTCCATTGAATGGACTTTGTCCCTGTAGCAATAATTAACTATAACGACAGAATAGTACATTAATATTCATTTGCTGGTCACAAGGTGAGAGTTGGGTGCAGGAAATGGAAGGCTGAAAATAATGTACTGTAATTTCCAAGAAGAGCTCTGACCTTGTCTTTTTCAAATCAAATATCCTGAACTTTTATTCTGGTGTTCTATTTGTTGTCAAAGTGCAGCCTGTGCAGGGATTTTCTTTATCTATTGTATTTCAGTATATTTATTAGTACATTTAATATTTTAGTGTCATCGTTTCTGAAGCATCAGGCTTGGTCCTTGTGATATTTGTTCTAAATATTGCTCTTTCTCCTAGACTCACGGTGGACGAAGGCCAATCAGACTGCAGCACAGAAGCAGACTGAATTGGAGGTGTGTGCTGATAGGCTTGATAGTTTTGCTGCAGCAGCCAGTCAGCTAGGACCATGGCTACGAGAGAAAGAGCTGATGATGAGTGTATTAGGCCCACTGAGTATCGACCCCAACATGCTCAACACACAGAAACAGCAAGTGCAGGTAAACTAATCTTCTTCTTTTGTCTACCAAATTACAGATTGGACAGGAAATCTATAAATATCACATTATAGGGGTCTATTCATAATGTTCATTAAATACAAATTATTAAATACAATTTAAACACACTGACAGTGTCTGTTACATTGTCAAAAAATAATTTCCACCAATAAAAGTAGTCCTACTTCAAAAGGCAAATAAATTATTGATCAGTGACGTTATTTAATAAAATAGTTCATGCAAATGTTTTATCAAAAAACAAACTTTTACAATAAAAAAATAAGTTTTTAAAAACTATGTTTGCTTATATTCTTCTCTATTAAGTGTATTACTGTCAATTATTTTTGTTTTTTGTTTGTTTGTTTGTTTGTTTTTATGAACAGAATAAAAAAATTGGTATTTGACATCATGCCTCAGATTTTCATTCAAAAAAATCAAATGAAACGTTTTGTTCTCAATATCGTATCCGCTTCAACAAAAATCACTTTAAATTTCTTTCTTTATTCTGTCAGTTCATGCTACGTGAGTTTGAGACACGGCAACCCCAGTTTGACCAGCTGACTCGGGCGGCAGAGGGAATCCTCTCCCCGTCTGGAGACGAGGCTTCTAGAGATGGACAGGACCTAGAGGAGGTGAGGCAGGAGCTGGCAGACGTTTCACAGCAGTGGGAAGACCTCACCGCTCGTCTCACCGGCCGTTCACAGCAGATCGACCAGGCGCAGGGAACCAGCGAGTGCTACCTGGCCCTGCTCAGGGAGCTGTCTCAGAGCATGGCCGATCTAGGTGAGAGGCTGGATGCGCAGACCTCTCTAAGCGCTCAGCCTGAAGCCCTGCGCCGTAGGCTTCAGGAAACTGGGGAGATCCGTGCTGTGCTGGAACAGAGACGAGGTCAACTTGCCCAGGCTGAGCAGCTGTGTTTGGAGCTCAGCACAATTGTGGCCGAACCATATCTCAGAGATGAGTTACACAAGAGATTGGAGAGTGTGAGTGGGCCCCTCAAAAACCTAGAAGAACGGGCTGGTGAGTAACAGTTTGAAAATGAAGAAATTAAGACATAAATATTCGTATTGTAATTTAAAAAAAATTCCTGTGTCTTTTTATTTCACAATGTATATCACAGAAAAGCAAATTGTCGCAATGTCAGTTTTTTTCCAGTATCGTGCAGCATGTGCATAATATTAACAGTCCCCCTCACTGCTGTCTTTCAGCTGATGGCTTGTCCCAGCTGCAGGCTGCCCTGTCCAGCACTCAGCAGTTCCAGCAGATGTTTGACGAGCTTCGTGGCTGGTTGGACGGGCAGGCTGGGAATCACACCGCTGGGGATTCTGAAGGCCTTCCTTGCCAACCTGATGCTCTAAAGACCCTTTTGGCCCAACAAGAGGATCTCCAGCGAGCCATAGCACAACAACGTGGATCCTATGAGCTCATCCAGGCCGAGGGGACATCTTTGCTAGCATCCCTCCCTGCTGGAGATGAGCGATTAGCCCTACAGACTCGACTAAACACCTTAAGGCAAGACTGGGAGGGCATAAACCAACAAACCTCTAATAAACATAGTCGAATAAAAGAGACACTGTCCCGTGCTGAGCTGTACCAACAACATCGCAATGAGCTTGTACCTTGGGTTGCAGAATGTGAGGAAAGGGAGGCAGAGATCCACCCATCACTGGATCCCTCCACCTTAGACGAGGCTTTGCAAAAGGCTAGACAGTTGAGCCTAGACTTGGATCGTCGTCGCCGCCTCTTAGATTCTCTGAACATGGCAGCAGATCAGCTGCTGGAGCAGAGCTGTACTGGTGAAGAGGAAGTGATGGATGAAAAAGCCCAACTTAATCGCAGGATAGATGGTCTCTCTGAGCGACTACAGGGACGCACGGCTCAGATAGAAGAGTTGGGAAGCAGACTGAAGGAGTTTGAAGATGGGAGACTGGCTGTGGAGAGAAGACTCGAGGCAGCCAGACATCAGATCGAGGTTCAGGAGGCGCTTGGGCCGCAAGCTTGTAGCAACAAAAGCCTGGAGCGTCTTCGTAGCCAACAAGAACTGTTAAACTCTATACAGCCACAGGTAGTATACCTGCAAAATCTGGCTCTGGGGCTACTCCAGGATGCGCCCGAGATCTCCAGGGCCGGCGAAGATGGTGGCCAGAGGCTGTTGCAGCAAGCTCGTGATGCGGAAAAAGAGTTTGAAGAAGTTACTGAGAAGGTGAGAGAAATCTGCACATGATCAGGAGCCTCTGGAATGTGCCAGGACTGAAGCGGTAGTTGGGATGTTATATATAACCTGATCTGTAGTTTAAGTCTGCGCTCATGTCATGTTTGCTGAAAATAAGACGCCGTCTTTTTCTGGCTGTTGGTCTAAATTTGTCTTGTTTATTTTCATAATAGCTTGTATTCAAGATTTGCCGCCAAAAGTTTAAGTATTTAAGATTAAAATACAATACAAATACAATTGTGCAATACTGCATGTCTATGCAGTACATTTTGAACATTTCATTTTTAAAAAATAAATATACTTATGTTGTAAGTGTAGCACATTTTTATTGTAATGTTATTTAAAAGTATTTACATAACAGCAAGATATTTATTAGAATAAGCCTCTAAGGATAAAAATAAAGAGCTAAAGTTAGCTATCACTTAGTGAGGGATTGCGAGTTAGCCACACCAACTGGAAGTTAATTTTAATATCACTTATTTATTCGTCTTTTGAAACTTGTTTTCATATCGATTTCTGCAATTTTATAAAACAGGATTATTATCTTTTAGATTGAGAAACCAAATAACACAAAAAACACCACAGAATTGATCAAATCCATTACTAAAACTTTCTGCTGTTTTTTTTTCACAAAAACTGTCACTTCCTGGAGAATGTTGTAATTGAGGAACTGTGTTTTGTTAGTTAAGGGGATATTACATACTGATAGGATGGAAAATTAAATTTGAGAAACAGGAAAGCCCTATATTTTAATTTTAAACGGTCTTCCCAAGAACGTATGTTTAAAACATCTCAGGAATGATTGAGTATTTCTTAGTATATTGGCAGTGCTTTATGTTAAAAGCACTCAGGGATGTGGCAAAAATTACAATATGCGCTTAAACCAAAAAGGTGAAATGCGAATGAAAAATTCAGGCATATTATGTAATATTATTACTGCGTATATTAATATGCTTATCCAGTATATTTAGAAACATATGATTGGTCTACTGCATAGTAGGAATGACCCACAACTTCATCTCTATTTACCTGCAATTGTCCCTTCTCTTTCCCCCACAGACAGAGCAATGCTGCTTATCCTTGGAGTCCCGGTTGCAAGGTGTGGGAGAGGTCCAGTCACATGTTCGAGATGTTTTCTCCCGCCTGGCTGATTTGGACGATGAGTTGGACAGCCTTAGCCCTGTGGGACGGGATACTGACTCCTTGGCCTCACAGGCTGATGCTGTTAGGGGCTTCCTGAGTCGACTCAGTGCCCTCCGTGCCGAGCTAGAGAGTCATGGTGGAGAATGCACGACTATGCTGCGTAGAGAGGGAAGCTCTCCTGATCTTCTGGCCCTCAGGCGAGAGACTGAAGCACTAAGCAGACAGGCAGGCAAGCTGGCAGAACGGGGCCAGAACCGTCTGGCACTCATAGAAGCCGCAGAAGAGCGAATGAAGGAGTTCTACGCCCGTCTAGCTGACCTACAAGGGTTGCTGGGACGGGCAGAGGAGGTGCTGGACACACAGGCCGTCGTGGGGACAGAAGTGGAGGTCATCAAACAGCAGCTTCAGGAATTCAAGGTAGGAAAAGATTTTGCAAACTGTATATTTTTGTCTGTACTGTATCCATCATTTGCAGTATCAGATTGCTTTCTGTGCTAACCACTGTATGCTAACAATGTTCGTGTGGCACAGGCGGTTCTAAAGTTTCAGTCTTAGAGGGGCTCAACCCTCCTACCTAAACATGAGCTCATGTGGCACGGATGATTATTTCTTGATTTTTTCCATATCTAAACAAGGTCTAGCTTATGTTGTGCACCATGTGGTTTACCCAAGTATGACGTGTTCCTGAATGAACCAGCCTTCTCCTGAATTCAGTGGACAGTGATTTGCAGATGATGCAGGATGATGTTCCTGAACCAGCAAAGGATGTTGATCCAGAAACATGTTCTAATTGTGTAAATCACATCAAGCCAGGGCTGTGGGACGTGGGGGAAAAAAATCAAATTGCGATTTTTCTGATTTAAAAAAAAAAATGTTAGTGATTAAATGGGATTTTTTTTTTTTACTATAAAATAATAATAATAATAATAATACTAAATAAAAGTATCAAACAAAAGATATATTACTATTGTAATATTTCAATATAAAATAAATAATACATATTTTAAAAATAATAATAATAGTTTATTTTATAGTACAACTATAAAATTACAATACTAATATTTATGGTCTTAATTTCTACATTTTCAAATATTAAACCATAAGCAACCCAAACTCACATCACATTGCAGAGATGGAATTTATGTGGAGCACGGTTTGCTGCAAACCCAACAGCTCTGAGACACTGAAAACACCAGATCATGAGCTGCTTGAGCAAATCATTTCACTTCACTCTGAAACGCATTCTGCATGTTTATATAATTAAATCACAATAAGCCGTAGCGTGGTTTTAGTTTCATTTTGGTCAGTTGTAAAGCCCTCTAGAGTATGCATGTTTAAAAGATATTATATACATTTTTGTATTACTGCAGGATGAAGGCTCTCGCCCTTAATAAATCCTTCTTTACCAACATGTTCTTGCTGTTTTCTTCTCATCATGTTCTCTGTGATGGTGGCAAGAGAATAAGGAGAGACATGTGAGCTCTTAAATCCTCAGAGTGGGCAGCTTGAGTTCACCTTTCCTCCCCTGACCGTCTGATGAAATGTCTGTATCTCACTTACTCATGCCTCTTGAGGGTGGCGAAAGAAAGGAGAGTGTGAGAGTGAAGAGGTGTAGGTGGAAGTGGGAAGGAGTAGAACTAAGGAAATGACGGATGTTGTGGGCGTCCGAGACCTCCAGGAGCAGGAGAGTGAATCAGTGCTGTACAAAATATGCCTTGCTGAGACTGAATCATTCCTTCCTCCGCCATGTTTGATTGCTCAGCAACAACAGTATGACTAGTTTGAAATACTTTGAGTGGTATTGAGGTAGTCCAGTGAACTTTTAGTAACATTTAAAGATTTTAAATAGCAATAAACATTTAGTACTTTCAAAGTTCTTGGAATTTGGAAGGGTGAAATTTGTCACTGTGATTTGCGTTCTTTAGAGATGTTGTAATTTCCTGCTAGGAAAATCTTCCATTGCAGGTTCTTTTTAATAGTACTGCATCCCACTGAGTGCCAACACAGAAAGCTCATTAAAGATGTCAGCACTGTGATGGACACTGAGCTAAATCTGACCGCACAACTAATCTGTGTCAGTCCATAGCGTCAATATGGGAGCATAAGAAGGGAGGGGGTCGGGGGCAAGAACCCTCTGTAGTCCACCCACTTCCAGCTCTACCTTATTTAAAACACTAACCCACTTCTAATCTATCCACCTACAACACATTTAAGCGATTGATGGTGATGGTGAAATGTGATTGGAGAAAAAGACAGAGGAGAAACTTTGATGTGTAAAAGTCATGTGAAGGGTGCAGACAGATTCACAGATTTACACATACTAGCAATCAATAGTGTGTTCGGTGATTCATCCAAGTGTTTTTTTTTTCTTTTTCTTCCACAAAAATATTAAGCAACAATTAAGCATATTAATCAATATTCAACATTGATAATAATAATAAGAAATGTTTCTTGAGCAGCAAATCAGTATATTAGAATGATTTCTGAAGGACCATGTGAAACTGAAGACTGGAGTAATGATGCTGAAAATACAGGATATACATGACACATACCTGACATTTTTAAAATATATTTCACAATATTAATGCTTTTACGTTATATTGATCTAATAAATTCAGCCTTTTTGAACATAAAAAAAATCTTTCTGACCCCAAACTTTTGAACTGTAGTTTAGTGATTGGTAAGGCATCAGTTTTAATCAGCCAAGCAGGCAGAGTTATTGATCAGGGCTCAGATATGAATTATGCATATCCGAGTTATTATGGATTGTGGGCGGTATATTGGTCTGTCATTAGTTAAATGTTTTATTTTTAATGAAGTGTCCTTGATTTGTCTTCATGTATTACTTTGTAGAAACTTGGATGACTGAGGAAGTCTTGAGAAATTCTTTTGTCTCTTCCTCATGCTTTTTTCCATTTTTGAGTATTTCTGCTGTTCTACTCCCTGTCTACCCACTTGCTTGTCTCATACCTTCACTCAGCGCATGTGGATGTCTAATCAATACAGGGGTGAAGTAGGGTTTAAGTATTAAGTCAAACCAGGACAAAAATATAAGCATATATAGTACAATAGGCTTTAAAAGATGGGATGGGATAAACTTTCCCAGTCTTTCTTAGTATGGTAGATTTCTATTTCCATTGGGAAATATCGCTTTAAAAATAATAATGAGCAGATGCTTGGTTGTGTCTTTATAAATGCTCATTCTGACTTTGTGTGACATGCACAGCAATTGGTATTGCAAACAAAGGCAATGGAAAATTACTTCTTCTTAACATTGTTCTTGTGACCTTGAAGGCCTTGAAATAAAGACAACCACATATCTCTAACTCATGAAGACAATGCAAGATGCAGTGTGAGCTATAACACTAAAAGCAAAACAATATGTCAAATTATTTTTATACCTTTTATTATTTTTTATACAAATAAATATAAATGTCAGTTAAAAATTAAAACATTATTTAAAATATTTAAAAAATATAAATATTAATTTTATATATTTTCATTAAAGAAAAATACTGAGACATTCATAAAATAATGTTAATTTTTCACTTAAATGCTTATGCTTATATTAAAGTTAAGCTGCATGAATATCATTTGTAACAGGAAAAAAATTATTACATTTGAAAAATACATTTTCACAAGTGGACTTTTGAACCCCACTGTATGTATTTGCATTCTATAGGTTATTTTTAGGAAGCTGTGGAATGGGATCTCATTTATTACAAAGGGGAAGAAGAGAGAAAAACGAATAAAATGTGTTCAGAAAGACATCTTTGGTATTCATCCAAGCTGGCTGCCAGCATTCGTCATTTTTCCATCCTCTCTGCCCCATTTCTCTCCTTTCGTCTACCACTTTGTAATGAAACATTGTAGGATAAATTTTAGTGCAGCCCGTTTGTCTGCCACAAAATAGACTGCTCTCATTTTCGCCTCGCCCCACGCAAGACAGACTCCATTTCAAAGACACCAAATCCAAATGATGTCATTGCTCAAAGGGGCGGAGAGGGGAGGGTGATCCCGTGTGTGTGTCTGAGAGTTTTTTGTTGTTGTGTAAGCTCCGTCGGGGCAGCTGCGGGTGGCATGGGGTATTAAGAGAAGGTGTCAGATTAGTCAGTATCATTGTTTAGCTTTTCAACAATGAGCGTATTGAGATGTCGTGGAAATCGGCTGGAGAGAAACAGGGAAACTTGTCACACTTGTGACTTGAATGTGAAATGTCTTGCCGGTGTCGTCTGGTGCTTCCTGTCTGGATATGTTCTCATATTTAGCAGCAGGTTGGCGTGTGCTGTAGGATGAGATGTAGACACAGAAGGTGTGTTTGTATGTTGTGGGAGTGTGCCCGCAGGTCCATGTGTGAGAATGTTTCTAATTCCAGTCCGTGTGGAGCGTCCGGCATCCCAGCTGTCTCCCCTCCCTAGACCCTGCAAACGCACTCACACACGTTCTCATAAGCAGGGTGTGGTTGCCCCCTCTCCCTAAAATTCCTGTCCCTTATGTACCCTTGTGCGCTCCCATGTCGCCCGGTCCCAGAGCAGCTGAGGCTTGAGCCGGCGGTGCGGGATAAAGTGCTAGACTGGAGTAAAACGAGGGCCCCCTGTCCAACTGGGAATTCCTTTGAAGGGCTGTTGGGATGAGGGAATGGCTTCTAAATCACATCAGGTTGTCCATGCTGTCCTCACCCTCACTTATATCATGACTTATATCATGTCACCCTCGCTTATATCTTCACTCCCTTTACTCTTTCCATCCCTCCCTCACTCCTGCCGGTTTGTCTATTTTTATTGACCTCTTTTTACGTAGTTTGTGATCACATATTTTTTCCTCCACAATAACATCTGCAGAGACTGTCATGACCTGCCCTACCCCCACCCAAACCTTAGGGGTTTCCCTCTAACATCATCAATCTTGTGGCCTCACAGTCACATGAAGCAGATTAGCACTGATTATTTTTCTGGAAGAATTCATTTATCACTATTGCAGTAAGGTAATGCAAAGTTCTTGCAATATTAACATATACTGAATATTAACATGGTTAATCTCATGAAAAAAAAACTCCCAAATAAAATGAATAACATAAAAAGTAATAATTTACATTAAAGGGGTCATGAATTGTGAAATAAAATTTCCCTTGATCTTTTGTGACATGTAAGAGGTCATTGTACTATAAAAATATCCTGTAATTGTCAGAGCTCAGAACTTCCTTTTATTGAAGCCAAGATCAGAAAACGACTCTCATTATGTCACATTATGACATAAAAGTGCAACGAAAGCCCACCTCTGCAGAATCAGATCAATGCCTACTTCTACGTCATCGTGTCTTTGGCCCCGCCCACTGGAGCATTAGTGAGATGAGAAGGAGAGAAAAGCAATACAGGAGCACTGGACTAAAAAATAACTTCACCTTCCACAGTGGATCC